ATATAAATAAGTCAGTGTTGTTGTTTTTTTTAGTATATTCAAAATTGTGCGACCATCACATGATTAATTTTAGGACCTTTTCATCACCCCAAAAAAGAAATTCCATACCCATTAGTAGCCACCCCTCATTCTACTAAAACTCCCTTCCCAGCCCCAGGCAACCACTAATCTACCTTCTATCACCATGGATTTCCTCATTCTGGACATTTCATATAAATGAATTTTTTAAAGGTTTTATTTATTTATTTATTTATTTATTTATTCATTCATTCATTCATTCATTCACTCATTCATTCATTTTTAAAGATTTTATTTATTTATAAGAGACGAGAGAGAGAGAGAGAGAGAGAGAGAGAGAGAGAGAGAAGCAGAGACACAGGCAGAGAGAGAGGCAGGCTCCATACAGGGAGCCCGACACGGGACTCAATCCCAGAACTCCAGGATCACACTCAGGGCCGAAGGCAGATGCACAACTGCTGAGCTACCCAGGAGTCCCTTATTTATTTATTCGAGAGAGGGAGAGGGAGAGAGGGAGAGTAGGTGGAGGAGCAGAGGGAGAGGGACAAGCAGACTCCATGTTGAGTGCAGAGCCCGATGCAGGGCTCGATCCCACAACACTGAGATCATGACCTGAGCCAAAATGAAAAGTCAGACACCCAACTGACTGAGCCACCCAGGTGCCCCTCTTTTGCCCATTTTTAATTTGGGTTGTTTATCTTTTTATGGCTGAGAGGTAAGAGCTCTCTGTTCTAGCTATGATTCCCTTATCAGATACGTGATTGGTGAATATTTTCTCCCATTCTCTTGTCTTTTCACTTAAATATATACATATATATATACACACATACATATACATATATGTTTGACATAAAATCAAGGGGTGTCTCGGCGGCTCAGTTGGATAAGCCTCCAACTCTTGATTTCAGCCCAGGTCATGGGATTGAGCCCTGCATTGGGCTCCTGCTGGGCGTGGAAACTGTCTTGGGATTCTCTCTCTTCCTTTCCCTCTGCCCCTCCCACCCCTGCTTGCACATTCACACTTTCTCGCTTTCTCTCTCTCTCAAAAAAAAAAAAAATATATATATATATATATATATAGAGAGAGAGAGAGGACACAAAATCACAATATTACATTGGTTGCAGGTGTGATTTTTCACTTTCTTGGTATCTTTTGTGTCTTGTGGGTTACTGAGTCCCATGGATTACTCTGGTGGGAAAGTGGGGGGAAAACCCAACTCCCTGTCAGTGGGAAGAGGGATTTTCTAATAGAAGCAGGGCTTTTGTCCCTTAGAACTTGAAGAGATGTTTGTCCATGTGAGAGGAAGAAGGGCAAGTTTTAGGACAGGGGAGCAAGGCTTAGAACTGGAATGTGCCAATGGACGTCCCAGTTAAGTGTTTATTTTTCCTCTTGGACACTGTAACATTGCTGGTATGGGTGAATGTTTTCCCTCCTACATTCTTTTTTTTTTTTCCACAAGAGAACAAATCTACACCTTTATTTATTTCAGTAAGTTTAAATCCTTGAAGGGTACAGCATCACACGGATTCGGTGGCCAATGGCTTTACCAGGAAGGTTGCTTCCGAATTTGGCATGAACCATGCCACTGCTTCCATGAGCATGAGTTACTTTTCCCCAGATTACTCTGGTTTTGTCTGGTTTGCCACCAGGAGTTACTATGTTGTTCTTTGCTCTGTACACATAAGCACATTGCTTGCCTAGATAGAATTCAGTTTCATCTGGAGCATAAACACCTTTGATCTTAAGTGGAGCTGTGCGCTCCCTCTGGTTCTGGAGACCCCATTTATAGCCTGCAAAAATGGCCTTGGACCAAAGCCTTCCAGACATACTCGTCGTTTTAGGAGTCCTGTTTCCACCAGGCTGCACTTATTTGCACCCAAAGTTCAGGAACAGGAGCACTTCTCACCTCCACAGGCCCCAAGTTGGTGGAAAAAGTGCCCTCCTACATTCTTTTTTGTTATCCAAACTCTTCCATAAAGTCTGAACAGCTTTGTGTGATGGCAATAGGAGGAGATTAAGGACTAAGCAAAAACCAAGAATGATCTGATCTACATCTCCTTGCTGAGGCCACCCAAGGCACTTGTCTGCCTATGGCTTTTAAAAGTGATGCCTACTTTTCCTTCAGGGCTCCACTCAAATGTAATTTCTTCCGAAGAGCCTTCCTGAACAAGTTTCCCTGTGTCATCTCTTATTGCCTGCTACACTTCTCACTCGTGGCACACCTGGCAGTTTAAATGGTATGGAATAAAGACTATGTGAGAAATTTCTGTTCTCCCATTTCTCTCTGAAGCAGGCCTTTTTCCCAACCCCTAGCCCAATACTTGACACACAGTAAGAACTGAATAAATATTTGCCTTAAGAATGAATGTCCAGAAACCCTAAGCTTAAATCCTACCAGCTCAACAACTCTCTGGGAAAGACATATTCTCTTTTTAAAACTTGGCAGAAAAGATCTAGATTAATATCTCATTGGGCTAAAGGGATGGAATATGTCCATTGGCCAGGTCTTGTCATGTGTCTACTCTTGGCCCCAGGTCAGTGGTGAGGGCTGTTCTCAGCAGCTGAGAATAGGGTAGTCTGGTTTCCTGAAGACAAAGCCAGATCTTCATGCAAAGAAGGGGAACTTCTGTTGGGCAGACACAAATTACAGAGGCTCAGAGGAGTTAAATACCATGTCCAAGGCCACAGAGCTATAAATGGTTAAGTAGTGCAGTCCTTGTTGGTCTTTCTTTCTTTCTTTCTTTCTTTCTTTCTTTCTTTCTGTCTGACTTTGGACTTGGACAGAGTAGTTCAAACTTTGTTCCTGTCCTACTTTCCCATGGTCAGAATTTCAGGTGCAATTTTGTCTTGCCAAGAGCCAGTGGAGTTTTCCCAAGATGACTAAAGGAGCCAACACTTCAACCCAAAATATCTACTAGCTCTTGTATTTTCCAAAACTTGTAGCACAGAGGCCAAGGATAAAACACTGAATGATGGGTTTCTTCTTTTTTGTTTCTAAGATTTTGTTTATTTATTCATGAGAGAGAGAGAGAGAAAGAGAGAGAGAGAGAGGCAGAGACACAGGCAGTGGGAGAAGCAGGCGTCCTGCGGGGAAGCCCGATGCAGGACTTGATCCCAGGACCACGGGATCACAACCTGAGCTAAAGACAGATGCTCAACTGCTGAGCCATCCAGGCATCCTTCAATGATGGGTTTCAAGACCATTTATATTTTTCATTCTCCCCACCACCTGATGAGATGCCATCTGTACCTCAGCCCCCTCCCCAAGCTGCATAAACGTGAACCTACTCCCTGCAGAGACCATAGCATCTGGTAAGCTGAAGGCCTTTGCTCTTCAAGGGGAATCTGAATTTTCAGGGACCTCAAAAACAGAGTGAAAGCTTAGGGACAGAACACTTGAGGGGCCAGTCCATACCCAGACCTGGGTCAAATCCTGGCTCTGCCATATACTGTGTAACCTTGGAAAGTTCTTTAACCAGTCTCAGTCTCCCTGTGTATGAAGTGGGGATGGTAAGAGGGTTGGGATAGGAGTGAAAAGAGCTAATGCCTGTAAAGCAGTTACCACAGTGCCTTGTAGACTGAGTGCTCTATAAATATCAGCTCCTATTACATCGCTTCAGAGGCATGTCAAAGCAGGCATTACAAATGACAGGTGGCTCTTGACCACAGAAAACATGTCCACAAGCTAGTGTTGTGCTGAGGGAGGTGGGAGGGGCGTTGAGCAACAGATAGGAGGAGTCCATTCTTCCTAGGAAAAGTGTAAATATGCCTACATGCAAACCCAGATGTCATCATCTGTCTCTGTGTCTGTGTTTGCTGGGCCTCGCTTGAGCAAAGACTCAGAATGCCCTCCAGCTCCTGAAATGTAGATACCCCTTGCCAAGAGGAGCCACCTTAGAAACGCTTTGGGCAGGGGCAGGGGCACCTGGCTGGCTCAGTTGGAGGAGCCTGTGACTCTTGATCTTGGGGTCTTGGGTAAAAGTCCCATGTTGGGTGTAGAGATTACTTAAGTAAATAACGTTTAAAAAAATCTTTCTTTTGGCAAATCTATCACTAAGAGCCTCAGTTTTATGATCTGTGAAATAGAGCTAATGCAACCTACCTTTCAGGGTTGGTGTGAAGACAGAATGAGATAAATGAGATAAATCACTCAATAAGTATCACTTATTTTTATATTTGAAATACGAGTTGTAAAATTTCTAAAATTTTACTAGAAAAGTATCTGGAAGGATAGAATATCAACATTAATATATGTCAACTATATATAATTAATATAATAAATAGAATCGATGCATATTAATATGTATTAATATTAATGTATCAATACTAATACATATTATGTATTGTATTGATATATGATGTATTAATATTAATGCACACTAATATGTAATAATACTATTAGTAATAATGCTAATATTAATATTAATACATACTAATTATATATAATATATTAATATAGCCTTTTAGCCTTTATAGCCTTTCCTTCTTTATACCTTTCCATATTTATCCATTCATTGCCCAGCTGTTTATTAAGCATCGAGCATGTGCCAAGCCCCGTGCTGAGAGTTAGGACTACGGCAATGTACTAGAACGGTAAGGAACGTCTAGAGGGCAATAATAAATAATTACCCAAATGATTGCAATCGTTATAAGTGCCTAAGTTTTTACAAAGCAGAAACCAGGACAAAAAAAAAGCAGTTTCTGATAAAAATATTATAAGTTTACGCACGGAGACTTAATGAGCTGGATTTCTAGTGATTTTGGAAAGGACTTCTGGGCTTGCCCACGGGGAGGGCGCCCTCTTGGCAGGTGGGTGCTAGGCCCGCCCCTCGCATTAGGTGCGAGCGAGGCGCGGCTTCTGCGCTGGAGCCCGGAGCCCCGCCTGGCGGCTGCAGGACCGCCCACGGCCCCCAGGGGGCGGCCACGGGAGCGCCGCGCGGTGCGCCCGCGGGCCCGGAGCCCCGCCCCTGCCCGCGGCTCGAGCCCCTGCCGCTGCCCCAGCCGAGCCCCGCTCTCGCCGGGATCCGACGCCGGACGCCGCACGCTGAGCTGCCCGGGCTCCGCCGACTGTCGCCTGCGGCCCGCCCCTGGCACGCGTCCCCCGAGCCCCGGGATCTCTCCGACCGCCGCGCGCGCCCCGCTCGCTGCTCCCCGGCACTCTCGGGGGGCCAGCCCGCCCTGCACCCTGGAGCACCGGGCCGCGAGCCTCTGCCAACTCCTCTGGATCCTCGCGGCCGTGCGCAGCGGCTGCAGCGCCTGTCCGCCCGAGGGAGGTGGGTGCGGGCGCGGGCGCGGGCGGGGGCCGGGAGCCGGGCCGGGGCCGGGAGCCGGGGGCCGGGACACGGCGTGCAGGCCCGGCGCGCCCCTGTGCACCCGCGCTCCGCGCGCAGTGGCTCGGGCGTGGGAGTGGAGCGGAGGCGGCGCAGATGGAGCGGGGGGCGCTGCTCCTCGGGTTTCAACTCCTGGAGGCTGTTTGCCCCTGTGAAGGGGTGTGGGGGGTCCTGCAGATGAACGGCCGTGTCTGCTCGGAGAGCACTTGGCGCACTGTTGACTGGGAGAGGCAGTTTGGGGGCCTCCGCCCAGGGCTCCTCGGAACCCGCGCAGGGTGCAGGCAGCGCTGCCTTCCTGCCTCCCCCGGGCCCAGAGCCGCATCCCCTGCCCTCCCCCCACCCCCCGCCCTCGAATTCCTGGAACCTCGAGGACAGTGTAGACGCGCCCCTGCTGCATTGTTGGCTGCGGGAGGGGGTCTGGGTGTTGGCAGGCTCCGCGGACACGTGCGCCGAGGGCGGGGCATTGATAGGCGAGTGGTGGCGCGGAGGTGGAGGCCTCCCGGGTAAGTCCCGGCCTAGACCTGTCTGCCCCGGTGGAGGATTGCGGGGAGCCAGCCTAGCTGCGTCCCCAGGTTGACAGATGGGCTGTGGGCACACTCTGGCTTCTTGGCCCTGCCTTGGGGCCACAACGTCAGCCAGGAAGTTGAGTGACATCGCCCATTCCTCTGATTTTACAGAGGAGGAAACCGAGGCCCAAGGTTGTCCAGCAGCTAATATGCAAAGCTCATGGAGCCTGCAGGTGTAGAGCAAGCAGATGGGAGTCGGTGGTGCCCTCTGTGTGGATGTGTGTGGAGGGGGGAGGTTCCCAGGGAGGCTTCCTGGAGGAGGTGATATTTGAGCTGATCTGGAAAGGCCAGTGGAAGGAGGTAGGGGTTAGAGATAGCGTATGCGCACATGCATTCCTTTGTTCCTGTATTGACAAATATGCTAAACCTCCTTGATGATGTGAATTCAGGTGTAACATAGTTGGGATTGCCATCTGGGATTGCCATCTGTCTCTTTTGACTTCCCTTCTCAAAGACGGGTGTGTGTGCAGGGCCCCCAAGTTCATATCTTCTGCAAGTGCTGGGGAGGCAGGAAGTCAGGGCCTGATGATCACTTGAAATGGTCTCAGATTACATAGGATTAATCGTGTCCGTTCTATGATTTACAGTTTCTCTCTTCTGTGCTTTTGGGGGACAGAACACTACTTTTTGACTAAGGATATAGCCCTGACTTTATTTTAACCCATTTTTAATGTACCATGTGGCAGAGATGGCAGTGAGTCGCCTATAGTCGCCTATATGCACGTTCTCCTCTTCCTGAGGTATCCCCTGGCTGAGTTCCCCAGGCTCCCTTACCGTTTGGTGGCCTACGTGACTGCGTTTTGGCTGATGGAACGTGAGCAGAAATAGCCTGTGCCCCTCTCAAGTTTAACCCCAAACTTCCCCTCCTCTTTCTACATTTACCAGTGGATTGGGAGGGCTGGGACTGGGGGTCAGGGGGCCGAGCTACCAGCACAAAGGTGCCTGAGCCCCCAAGTGACCTTGGAGCAAACCCCCCCCCCTTTCTGCCTCCCCTGAAGTCCCTGGTTCCATGTCTGCTGAAGAGAATGGGGCTCCAGTAAGCTCTTTGGAAGGTCTGGGGTTGTGCATGGGGTTTGTTGGCTGTGGCCTTCCCCTCCGGGTGATCTGGCTGGGCCATTCCACTGTGGAAGGGTGTCTTTAGGCCTTTTTTCTCACACTGGTTGGATTCTCCAAATACATCTTGTCCAGTTTGGGGCAGAATTGGTGGCCAGCTGCCAGGACACTGAGAACAGTGTGGAAGAAAGCTGAATGTCAACCGCAGAAACTTAGATTTGTTTAAGCCCCTTCTCTAGGAGGTTACTCGTTCTTATCCAGTTCTTAAAGCTGAAGCAGAAAAAAATCAATGATCAGGACTATATCCAAAGTAATACCGGCTGGCTGGACTGATTAAAAAATAAAAGTTTCTGTGTTGGAGAGACCAGTTCTGCTGACCAAGAAGCTGCAGACTATTGCCTTAGTGAACTGAGAAACTGAGAATGTTCTAGAAAGTGATTATGGTGACCACCATGGATGGAAGCAACTTGGATTTTTTAAAAGATTTTATTAATTTGTTTGTGAAAGAGCACACAAGCTGGGAGGGAGGGGCAGAGGGAGAACCAGACTCCCTGCTAAGCAGGGAGCCTGATGTGGGGTTCGATCTCAGGACCCTGGGATTATGACCTGAGCCGAAGGCAGACACTTAACTGACTGAGCAACCCAGGGGCCCTGAGGCTTGGATTTTTAAATGTTGCTGGATTAAACCCTTGTAGTCAAGGCTGATGGGCATAAGCAAGAAGGCTTCCAACCAAGGAAGGCGCGAGTCATTAACCTGCTGGTAATAAAGTAGGAGATGACCGTCTCTTGGTCCCCAAAGTCCCAGGAGCATTTCAAATGGCTAAAAAGTCAGAGCATGGAGTGTTCAGTTCTTCAGCTCTGACATTTTCTAGACCTAGCAAGGACTCCGCAGGGAGTGCCTGGAAAGCAGGTGGCTCAGCTGCAGAGAATTTCTCTAGGCCATTGGTTCTCCAGCTTTATGGCACATCAGAACCACCTGGTGAGCTTGTTTAAACACAGATTGCTGGGCCCACTTCCAGAGCTTAATTCACTGGGCCTGGAATGAGGCAAGAGAATTTGCGCATTTAACAAGTTCCCAGGTGAGGCCCTGCTGTGAGTGGTCCCATGACCACACTTTTAGAAGAACTGTTTTAGCAAGTGATGGCTGAGTGAAAGCCCTGATTCAGCCCACATTGGCTTCACACCCACCTCCCCCACTTTCCAGCCATGTGATTTGGGGCAGGTCACTTAACCTCTCTGTTACCTCGGTTCCCTATTCTGTAGGATGAAGCTGATAGTGCCTACCTCCTGGGATTCAGGGGATTCAGGCTTCCTGGAGGAGGTGACATCTAAACTGAGACCTCAAGAATGAGCAGAAGACTTGGCCAGGGGATGGGTAGGGAGGGCAGACCAGGGTGTGTGCCAGGCAGAGGGCACAGGGAGTGTGAAGCCCAGGGAGCTGAGAGGAGCTATGGCATAAGTGCTTTGTAAAGTGATCCTGAAATGCTGTGAATCTGTTCTGGGCTACATGTCTTAGGGCAGGATTGCAGTTGAGGGAGACCTGGCCAGGGTGTGGAAAATGGGCTGCTGGGAGGCCCACATTCCATTGGCCCCAATGAGGTCACATGGCCCCACCTAGGCACACAGGATTCTGGGAAATGTAGTCCGTGGCAGGGCAGGGCAGCATAAAGCCTTGGTGGAGAGCTAGCTGTCTATGCCACAGTAGCTTTTTCTGGCCCTTGGCTACCTCTCTTATCTCTTCTCCACTTTGCTTTGTTGGATGAGTGAATTTTACAGATAAGGAAGCTGAGGTTCAATTTGCCCAATGTCACTCAGGTACTAGTGGCAGAGACAGGCCTTAAACCCAGATCTGGGGGATCCCTGGGTGGCCCAGCGGTTTAGCGCCTGCCTTTGGCCCAGGGCGCAATCCTGGAGTTCCGGGATCAAGTCCCACGTCAGGCTCCTGGCATGGAACCTGCTTCTCCCTCCTCCTGTGTCTCTCCCTCTGTCTCTCTCTCTGTCTATGTCTATCACGAATAAATAAATAAATCTTTAAAAAAAAAAAAAATAAACCCAGATCTGTTTGTCCCAAAAGGCTGATGGGCAGATATAGTCTGAGTGCTTTTTTGAGGGCCACTCCATGATCTAGGCTTTCCCCGCTCAGGATCTCAGCTGTGTCTCAGGCTAACACCTCGATGCCTTATAATTATAATGGGATAGTCCCTCCACTCCACGCTTGCAATGCCCATGATATGAGCAGAATTGCCAACTTTTCTCTAGTTACTCACTCATGCAACATGCATTTATGGAGAACTTGGTGTGTGCCAGGCATTGTGCTTTTGGGAGCTAGAGAGGAATAAAACACGGCCCCTTTTGTTCCAGATGCTCACATGGTCTGGCCACTGAAAGGCTGTGTAAACAGAGTTCCCCTGAGAAGTGAGACATGCTGTATCCCTGGCCTGACCTGCCAGGAGTACAGAGTGTCCTGGGAAGTACATGAGACGGGTGCCCAGCAAATGATTAAAAATTAAAAATCAGACTCTCTTGTGCATCTTGTAAATTGAAGCTATAATTACAATATTTTGTGCTTTGTCTTCTAAAGTGTATTTTTCTGATTTTTTTATTTTTTATTTTTATTTTTTTTTCTGATTTTTTTAAAACAGTAAAATTGTCTTTGCTCCATGACAGTTTTGTATGCACAAAGCACAGTGTACTGCAGTGACATTTTTATGAGCCTCAGCAGAGCAAATGTTGACTGAGCTCCTTGGGTTCAGCTGGGGGTTGCTGTCTCTCATAGGTGAGCTAATTTCTCCAATCAAAAGAATGGTATGCCTGGAGATTGCTTTTAAGGAAGAGAGGAAGGAGAGTAGGTCAGGGAAGTCTCCTAGCATTTCCTCCAGAATCTTTCTTTTTTTTTTTTAAGATTTTATTTATTTATTCATGAGAGACACAGAGAGAGGCAGAGACACAGGCAGAGGGAGAAGCAGGCTCCATGCAGGGAGCCCGACGTGGGACAGGATCAGGCCCTGGGCTGAAGGCAGCGCTAAACCGCTGAGCCACCTGGGCTGCCCCCTCCAGAATCATTTTAAAGCACAGTCTCTTGGCGCCGTTAACATTCTGAGCTAAATAATTAATTCTGTGTTGGGGGCCTGTCCTGCATGGTAGGATGTTTAGCAGCATCTCTGGTGTCTATTAACTGGAGGCCAGCTATACTCTGAGAGTTGTGACAACCAAAAATGTCTCCAGACATTTGCCAAGTGTTCCCTGAAGGGCAACATTGTTCTAGACTACATCTGTTTCCTATCGCTACTATAACAAATCACCACAAACTTGGTGACTTAAAAC